GAAAGTCGTGCACGATCGCGATACCGTATGAAAACCGATATAAACAAAGCGATAAAAGAAAGTATCATCGCAAAAGGACACTTCGGCGGCATCGACATAGAGCCTGCGGTTCCCTTATCTCTCCCTACCATTAATTAAGTCGCACAAAAAACAGAGGGCGGACTCATAATCCACCAATAAGACAAACCTGTTTGTAGACTTTGGAGAAGTCGAACGAGACCTCCACACATTCGGTCAATCGCTTTCACGCGTGAAACATCATACGAATTAATTAGTGATCACATTATATCAATTGTCGCGACCCGGTATTCTCGAGGCGTTATCGCGACCCGAGTCGAATCTCGAGGCGTCGTCGCAATCCGGAATACACGAGGCGTCGTCGCGACACGGTATCGCGACCCGAGTCGAATCTCGAGGCGTCGTCGCGGTTTGAAACAGTACGCGACCCGAGTTGAATCTCGATGCGTTGTTGCGATCTGATATAACCGAACATTGTCACAAGCGATCAATGCGGGGATATTACCTGAACATTATTATAAACATTGCAATGTAAATTTGTATATCCAACAATAAACAATCAAAATAAACTACAGTACGAATACGAAAATATCTTCACTGATTCACGAAACATTTACTAAAATATTCTGAAACATCAAGAAATCTCAATTTATTGTGAGATATTGATTTACGTGATTTTCTCTACACATAGTATAATAATATTTAAATGTTCTCTGCATTTCTAGGAAAAACTACTATGGTTTTTACATTATTTTAGATGTATGAGATCTAAAACGACTCGAATTTTACACTCGAGGTAAAAAAATCGTACTTTTTGGACATCTTCCTTTGAATTTTCAAAAAAATAAAAATTTTCCAAAGGAGGAGGGCCAATAAGGCCGATTTTTGGGCACAAGCGTCGCACGTTTTTGATCGTATATTTGTATAGTTGAGGTCGAGAGCTTTCCAAAACACCCTATGAAAAGCTTTTTACGTTGAGGAAAGTGAAAGTTATTAGTTCTCAAAGTTAAAGAAACACACATATGCATGAAGTAGACTGCCTTAATTTTGTGTGTGTGTGTGTGTGTGTGTGTCTATCTGTGTGTGACAGATTGAAAATATATACATGTATTTGTTATTTTATCGTCATCTTTTTAAATACGAGCTTGGAACCGTCAATGGCAGAATTACTTTTTTTTATTTTTTAAAATAATTTTTAATTTTTTTGTATAGTTTTTTGTTTTTTATTTATTTTTTTTTGTCATAAATGTATTTTTTGCGCATTTCTTGTGTTGAATTCGACGGCACTTAAGAAGAGTCACTGTTTGATGATTCTTCTTTATCTGTTCAAAATGAAGAAGCATCATCAAACAGTGACTCCTCTTAAATGTCGTCGAATTCAACATAAGAAATGCGCAAAAATACATTTATGACAAAAAAAACAAAATAAATAAAAAACAAGAAACTATACAGAAAACAAGAAAATTAAAAATTATTTTAAAAAATCAAAAAAATAACTGCCATTGACGGTTCCAAGCCCGTATTTAAAAAGAGGACGATAAAATAACAAATACATGTATATATTTTCAATCACACACAGACAGACACACACACACACACACACAATTAAGGCAGTCTACTTCATGCATATGTGTGTTTCTTTAACTTTGAGGACTAATAACTTTCACTTTTCTCAACGTAAAAAGCTTTTCATAAGGTGTTTTGGAAAGCTCTCGACCTCAACTATACAAATATACGATCAAAAACGTGCGACGCTTGTGCCCAAAAATCGGCCTTATTGGTCCTTCTCCTTTACAAAATAAATATAGGAAAGTGAGTACACACATACACATATATCTATCTAACTTTACAAAAATTATAAGGAAATTAATGATTAGTTCGACCATACTGGCTCTTATTAATAATTCGTCTTTATTAGATATGAAGTACACTACGTTTCGACCTTAAATTTAGGTCCTTTTCAAGTGCTAAAATTATAAAAAATCAATAGTTAGCGACGCAAAACTAAAACTAAATACAAGTCAATTCGTGCAAGAAGAAACAACAATGTATTTACTTAAAACAATTCTAATAAGCCACATTAAGATATAGAGATATAAATTATGATATATTAAGCGCTGTAAACTTTAACATGTCGCTAAGACATTCTGTCAACTACTGATACAAGACGCTAAATTATTTTAATAATCTTATCATAAACAGAGTTGAGATTGTCTGTGTCAGTTTGAAGATTGATTGTGTTTGTTTGCTTTTTAATATATAACATTTCAGCAATCTCTCTCTTACGTCTATGTTTTTCAGTATGTAAAATACATTGTGTTACCATACATGAGAAATTTCAGCGACAACATCTCTAAATCGCTTAGAAAAAAAGGACTACGAGTAGTATATAAATTACAGAAAAAATTAAGTAGCCTTATTAAAAGAGGTAAGGATACCACTCCTAAATTAAATAAAACAAATGTCGTTTAAAGATTGGAATGCATTGATTGCAATGTTTCTTACATAGGACAAACAAAGAGACATCTAAATACTCGCATAAAGGAACACCAGAACAACATTAAAAAGCATGAATCGAATCTGTCGGTTGTTAGCAAACATAGAATAGAATGCAATCACGATTTCCGGTGGCTTGACCCTTCTATTTTACATACTGAAAAACATAGACGTAAGAGAGAGATTGCTGAAATGTTATATATTAAAAAGCAAACAAACACAATCAATCTTCAATCTGACACAGACAATCTCAACTCTGTTTATGATAAGGTCATTAGAATAATTTAGCGTCTTCTATCAGTAGTTGACAGAATGTCTTAGCGACATGTTAAAGTTCACAGAGCTTAACATATCATAATTTATATCTCTATATCTTAATGTGGCTTATTAGAATTGTTTTAAGTAAGTACATTGTTGTCTCTTTTTGCACGAATTGACTTGTATTTAGTTTTAGTTTTGCGTCGCTAACTATTTATTTTTTATAATTTTAGCACTTGAAATGGACCTAAATTTAAGGTCAAAACGTAGTATACTTTATATCTAATAAAGACGAATTATTAATAAGAGCCAGTATGGTCGAACTAATCATTAGTTTCCTTATTATTTTTTAAATTTTCTCTGGCGAAGAATACAAATCTATTATTTACAAAAATTGTTACTTTATGTAAAAAAGTGAAAATTTGAACTTTATTATAAAATTATCAATTTTTCAAAAAAAATTTTCTTAATAAATTAAATTAAAAAAAATGCCGAACATTAAACAAATATATTTTATGATTACACATTTTTTTAACTTATCCAGAGCTTATTATTTCCGTAATTAAGATAATTAAAAAGAAATTTTAATAAAAAGGTTGTGCCAATTGAAATTTGCACATTGCTTCTTCACCATATTAATTCAATTATGGTTTCCTTATAGAGAAAGCTTAACTTGCACATTAATTGAGCAAAATTTAATTTCACTCATTAAGATTCCTCTATGAGGAAGCAATAATTGAAAGAGGATAATAATTTTGCTTCCTCATAGAGGAATCTTAATAAGTGAAATTAAATTTTAATGAATCAATGTGCAAGGTAAACTTCCTCTATAAGGAAGCCATAATTAAATTAATGTGGCGAAGAAGCAATGTGTTTTTTTTTGTATATGTAATTTTTCGTGATAAATTTTTATAATTTTGTAATTACGTTTAATTTTCAAATTTTAATGTAATAAAACATTTGTACGCAAACTCAAAGAAAAAGAAAAAAGAAAAAAATTAATTTTTTTAAATAAAAAATATGATTCCATTTAAAAAATTCAAGATGTCTTCAGTATAATCTTAATAATATCATCTAAGGTTTAAACCGTTACATCAAATAAGTTTTTTAAACAGTTTTAATCACAATTTTTGTTTCACACAAACATTTCTTTTTCGTAAAATACTTCCTTTCCGAAATAATAGACAATTCCAAACTTATCCCGAATTTTATATATATATATAATTTTATATCATATACGAGGTGTGTTCAAAAAGTATCGCGAATTTTGTGTTTTTTCAAAAATTATTTATTTATTCATGAATATCTATTTTGTTCCCTTCAAAGTAATCCCCACCAGATATTATACACTTGTGCCAACGTTTTTTCCAATCCTCGAAGCACTTCAAAAAATCATTTTTTGTGATCTTGTTCAGCTCCTCCTTCGATGCCGTCTTTATCTCCTCAATCGTAGCGTAGCGTCGTCCTTTCATGGGCCTCTTCAGTTTCGGGAACAAGAAAAAGTCACAGGGGGCCAGATCTGGGGAATACGGTGGCTGCGGCATTATTAGTGTGTTGTTTTTGGCCAAAAATTGAGCAATTTTGGTACGAATTTCGCGGCGACCCGTGTCATGCCCAAATCATTGGTAAAAATCGAATGGCACGAGCCAATCGATATGTTTAGGTCTTCAGCAACTTCTCTAACGGTGATTCGACGATTGACCAATACTATTTTCTTCACTTCATCAATGTTTTTGTCTGTTGTTGACGTGCTCGGGCGTCCAGCACGCTCTTCGTCGTTCATATCTTCTCGGCCCTCGGAAAACATTTTGTACCACCGATAAACGTTGCTTCGGTCCAAGGTAGCTTCACCATATGCCACAGTCAACATTCGGAATGCGTCCGCGCACTTAATTTTGTTTTTCACACAAAATTTGATACAGATTCTTTGATCCATTTTTTGGAATAGGCAAAAATCGAAGACGAGCCAAAACACGTGCAAGCAAAGCAGCTGTCAAAAATTAACTGAACATTCAAAATGGCCGTACTTGTCGGCATAAATGAGAAACATGAGTACCAACATAACGCCACAAAAAAATCGAAAATCGAATATACGTAACCCGCGGAAATTCAAAATTCGCGATACTTTTTGAACACACCTCGTATATGTATATTATATACTAAAGTATATATACAAATGTGTATGTATATTTAAATATTTTATGATGATATATTGTATCTTCTATCAGCTTTCACGAAGAAGGCATCTATGATGTACCCGCAATGGTTACATACATCACGAATATGAGATCACAACCTTTGCACGCGTACATTGGCCATTCTATGGGTACATCAGTATTTTACGTAATGGCAACAGAGCGTCCAAAAATTGCTAAAATGGTGAAAATGATGATCAATTTCGGAGCAGGAGCTTTCGCAGATCATATGAAAAGTCCACTACGACCAATATTTTACATGATGAAAGATAATGAGGTAATAATATAATATGTAAGAATACTATTAGAAAATAATTTATCTTGTAAGATAACTGTTTAGACTATTTTTCTGTAACTGTTAACACTATTTTTCTGTAAAAAAAAACATGATTTTATGTCTCATTTTTACATGTACAAAAACACACAAACACACTATTTCTTTAATATTCTCATAAACATTAAAAATTAATATTAAAATAGCTTAAGAAATAGCCGACCACGCCAGGCTCTCAGTTAGCCCGTTGTTTTATTATTTATTAAAAATTAAAAACAGGATTATAATCGACTAACACCGGCAATGTTTTATTTATTTATAAATTAACACAATGTTTCGACCATGGGTTTTGGTCCTTTTCAAGTGTACTAAAATACAGTAAATGTATAATAATTAGCGCAAAGACACAAATATCAGCAGTAGAAACAAATATCAAACTCAAACAGTAGTAGCAGTGTTAGTAACAACTTATACATTATATATACATTGTAAAGTTATCTACTTAACGAAAGATTGTCACATAAACGCACATACAAATATGGAAACTGCAACATTATCGAGATTAAAAAGGAAACGTTGTGTATTATAACACCTCGTCAATACGTATAAACCGAGAACAGACTATAGACAATCTTTATTATTTCGTCAGAATTGTTATTTAGATTTTTAGTGTTCTTTTGTAAGTTGAGAGTGTTATTAAATTTTTTGATAAAAACATTTCAGCAATTTCCCTTTTCTTAGCATTTTTCTTATTATATAATATTTGGGGAGCAGACCAATTAAAATCATGTCCCAATTCCATTCTGTGTTTGCTAATTACTGAGTGATTATACTAACATACATTTTTATATTGTTGAAATGTTCTCTCATACGAGTGCTTAAATGTCTTTTAGTCTGACTTATATAAGAAGCGGTGCAATTCTCACAATTGATTTTGTATACGATTTCTGTTCTGTTATTTGTCAAAAGTTTGTCCTTATTCTGTGTAATTATCGTGTCTATTTTTTAGGTACGCTGTAAGTAACATTTAGACCGATTCCATTGAGCTCACGTTTAATGTCATCACTTACGCCGCGAACGTAAGGCAATGCAATATAGGCAGATACCATCAAAACTATCATTCTTGAATTTATCCTTGTCTATATCCGGATTCTTGGTGTTATGAAATTTTCATTTATTAAGTCTTTTTTTGATGTGACAATTAATTATGTGAGCCGGAAAACAGTTGCTATGTAGAATTTTTCCCACAATATCAATGTTTTTGTGATGGAAGCGTTTATTAGAACAGGATAGCATGATCAACAAGATTATAAATTGTGTTGACTTTATATTTCATTGGGTGATTAGAGTAATAATTAATGTACCTGCCCGAACAAGTGGGTTTCCGAAATCAATTAGTCACAAGTTTGACATCACATCTAATGACTATGGTATTTAGAAAATTAATTAAAATATTCGTTTTTATTTCATGCGTAAAACGTAAGCAAGGATGGTAGTTTTTAAAAGTCAATAACATCTCATCGGTTTTAGTCATAGGAACAATAGCGAATACATATGTGTAAAACAATAGAACGCAAAAACCAAGTAATTTTAAACATTGTATCTCTAAATCGTCCATAACTATATCAACCAAAATAGATGATAGGGGGGAACCCATCGGACTACCAAAAATCTGTTCATAAAATTGGCCGCCAAAGCAAAATCTTGTTGAATCTAAAATGATTGCAACTGTGTATAAGAACTGAGACAAATCAAACATTGTGTTATGAGCGATATCACACCAACGTTTTTCAATAGCGTTTTTTACTAATTGTTTATGGATATTATATTGATGAATAAAGAGGCGACATCTAATGAGATCATCACCTCATCATCATCCACAGTGGCATCACGAATAGCAATGGCAAATGACCAATCATCTCTAATATGAGATGCCGGTTTTTTTTATAGAACGGTGTAATATGTCATGAATAAAACTTGCGACATTATAAAGCGGGCTACCGAGCGCCGATACAATTAAGCGCAAAGAAGAACCAACTTTATGAATTTTTGGCAGTCTGTAACATCTAGGCAAATTTCCGTTCGTGCAATTTAAATGTTTATATGTGGTCGCATCTACCAAATTATTATTTTGCCATGACTTAAGCAAGGAATTTATTCTTGTAGTCACACGCCCGGTGGAATCCCTGTCTAATTTTCAGTACGTGGATTGATCGTTCAATAGCAATCTCATTTTTTTCACATAATCGGTTCTATCCATGACGACAGTAACCTGACTTATCAGCTCCAGTGACAATGACATTATCGTTCCCTTTTAAGAATTTTTTGCACAATGAAAATCTATCGAGGATATATCTGTCCGTATAATTAATATGTCTACGTACACAAAGAAACTTATGGAGTGAACTCGCGACTGAAATTCTAGTTGCTTCCAGTGAATCCACGGGAATTCTGTAGACATTTGCTTCAATATTTTTAACCATTCCGAGTACAAATTAAATATGGTTCATTGAGGTCTGATACAAAGGTAGTCCAAATCCAGCACCAAGACTAAAAAGATCAGTGTTAGGAGAGAGTATCGACAATTCTTCTCTGATGCAAAATTAAGCAAAGATAGCAAACTCATGTAACAAAAAATATTGCGAAGGCTTTGAGCAAGGACCGATGCTCTTGTTAAAGCCTCGTGGACAGCAAATTATGGGCAAGACGACAATTAAAGCAAAGTAATCGACTCACCGCGTAATGCGTGCCTCGTGTTCCAAAGAAGGCAGATCCTTCGAAAAAAAAATCCTCTGCAGTAGGGTGCGGATGTCTTCAAACAAGCAATAGGATAGCAAAGAGAAAGATAAGCAAGCCAAGCATGCAATCACGCAAGTGAGCAGGCAAAGTTCGGCGTTTTCCTCTCTGTCTTCAGAGTTCGTCTCAAGCGTGGTACCAGCAAGCGCCCAAAAGCAAGTGGTCGAATCTTCCTTCCTGTAAGGTACGGCAAGCAAATAGTCTGCTTCCACTCCCAATCAATAATTTTTATCGATGGATGACGATGATAGCACCGTTTAGTAAGTCGATTACCGTTGAGTGCCAATTCGCTATCCATCGGCAATGCGTTACAATTTTTTTTTTGCGATGCGGCGCAAGGCAGAGAAATCCTTTTTACTGATACCGATGGGGCTGGCCCCATGAGTTATGTGGAGACTCATCCAGCTAGGACATCACACCACAAGTGATTCACCGGCGGCCTTAACCACCGATGACTCACAAGTGATAATAGTGTGTCCTGGTTGGCTTTACCCACTAAAACTCCGCCCGAGCCCGATGCATGAGCCTCCTCGGTCCTTTCTCTCTGTGCGACAGGAACTGTTTTGCACAATACTTCTATCGCACAGCAGGATCTCGCAATAATCGCTTCTCCTCCCTTTTCCCCCTCTTGTGTTTCCACCTTCCTTCCTTGCGGAAAACCTTCCTCTCACCATTATACACATGGTGCTTCTCCCTTCCATGGATACATCTATACACACTTCCAATCTAAAATAAATTCAGACAAGTTTCCGTGCACACATATGCCCATGACCCTCCTACATGTATAAATATATACACACACACGCACATACGCACACACGCACACATCATTATTTACATGCTTCTCTCTTTTTCTATCCGCACGCATCACTATTAGAGATTGGCAGACCCGTTTCCACGTGCCTGCCTTGTCCTCTCTCTCTTCTCTCCTTCATGCGTTACAATTTGAGCTAAATTAATATACAATCGATTAACAATTATTCGATAAGCAATAAAAAAGTAACATTTAAATACAATAATTAGTGTGACAGCTAAATTTAACAACTAACAATAAACGCGACAACGTAATTGATGAGCACCAAACAATCAGACACTCGGTCAGGTGTTATTTTACTACTGATATTTAATAACCATTTCGATCTGTCTATGTTTATGAACGGATTTACAAGTTTATTATATCTGTGTATTAAAATGTTGAATTTTTTATTGCAATAATTTTTTTCTGTAATTAACCCCCAAAATAATGTTTGTTGAAGGCAAAAAAATTTTTACTAAATCGTTTGGTAAGCAATAAAAAAGTCTATCCTCGATCTTCTTGATATTGTTATGCAAATAATTAAAAATGGTAATAATTTCGTCAACCATATCTGGCTATAAATACTATTTATTAAACTTTACGACGTTTCGGCCATGGGTTTCGGCCCTTATCAAGTGCTATCAACAATTGATATATAATTAAATTAATAATATTACAGATTAATACAAATTAGGTGCTTAAATATTAATATACCAACCTACTTAATACCGCATTATTGTAATAACACTACTTGTTTGATCTTAAGTCATGACGTGATGTACTGTCATGATAATGTGTTACGAACTAACTATATTAATATGTCAATACGGAACTATTTATATACTAGATCAGACTAAACGACCTTTATTAATTTTTCGTAGACATTGTTTAGATTGTCAGTATCTTTTTGTAAGTTAATATCATTTGTCAAATTTCTTGATGAAAAATATCTCCGCTATTTCTCGTTTTCTAACATATTTTTCATGATGTAAAATTTCGGGCGAAGACCAATTGAAATCATGTCGCATATCAATTTTATGATTAGTAATGAAAAACCGAAAAATTACTACTGTGTACCTTGATGTTATTAAAATGTTCCTTTACACGTGTGCCTAATTGTCGTTTAGTTTGACCTATATATGATGCAGGACAATTTTCGCAATTAATTCTATACACTACTTCTGTTTGTTCTTTTAAAGGTATAGGGTCTTTTACACGTTTAATTAAAGAAGTTAATTTCTTCGGTATACTGTAAACGCTTTGCATACCCGTAGTTTGTAATAATCTCGTCAAATCATCGCTGAGTTCTTTGACATAAGGTAATTTTATAACATGATAAAATTTCGCACTGCCTAAATTATTGTTATTATTAATATAATCATCGTTGTTTCGTGTACTAAGTAATTTTAAT